AGAGTCCATGTGGCACGCGTGAGCCCGTCGTGATAGTCCGTGCGGCGCACGCGAGCCCGTCACGAGAGTCCGTGTGGCGCGTGTGAGCCCGTTGTGGTAGTCCGTGCGGCGTGCGAGAGTCCGTGCGGCGCACGAGAGGCGCCACTCCGTGAAACTGAGCGGTGGCACCTTCCGGAGCAGTATCATCTATGAGGTGATAAGTATGGCATAAGGATGTAGAAGAAGAGGGGCGTATATACTATATTGTGAGTACAGAGGTAAGAGGACATGGTGTACAACGGACGAGAGAGAGACGATATGGTCTTACTACAGACGGTAGCCGTAGGAGCCGAGACATTGTTCGGGTTTGGGAAAGGCCCCCTTTGAAACCTCCGCATCGGCGTACGCGTAAGCATGGCGAGCTGTGAGCGAGGCGCCAGGAATGTCGGCCGGGGTATAGGGGATGGCGTGGGCAATCCAAGGGGTGTTGTAGCCGCTGCAAGAGGGCGTCGGGATGTCGACGACTATGGACATTTGGATGGTCCTCTCCCCCGAGCCCAGGACTAGGAGAATGGTGCGAGACCGCGCGAAGCGACTTCGGTGCATTGAGGAGCCGGTGGATGGAGGAAGCGCAGATGACGAGGCGGCAGATAAAGAAGCAGGAGCACGGAAGTGAACGGGAGTGACTTGGAATGGGTGAGATGCGAGATGAGGAAACCTCTACTAGTCCATGTCGAGGTCGGGAAGTCCGAGGGCGGTGTTCCAGTCCGATTTCGTCTGGTGAAAAGGATGAGTCGATTTTTGGGAGGTGGAAGATATGACGCACGAACGGCGTCTTCAGGCACATGTAAGCCTTCTTGCAGCCGTCGAACAATACAAGATACCTATGCGCTTGCCTGACAGACATTCAGTGACGTTGATGATGCTGGAGGGAGCACTTACTTTTTGGCGTATGCGGCCTTGCCTCGTTCGCGGGAGTGTTCATGCAGTTCCGCATTTTGCAACCAATGCTGCCTGAAAAAGCCGAAGAACACCGCGGTTCTCCACATCTCACGCCGCAACAGCTTGCGCTCCTCCCGCCACCTCGTGAGCATCGCATGTATGCGGAACCAGTGGACGCTCTCGACTGTGAACCCGACCTCAGCTGAAGTAGTGTATCCAGGCAGGGTACTCACTCTGGTCCTTGTACCGCTGATGTGCGGCCGTCCCAGCCTTGTCGACAACTGAAAGACTGTCCCAGATCCACGACTGGTCCCCCTGAGCCGAAATGACCATCGCCTTGAGATCGGTTTCTTCGAGCGGATGGACTGCGGGGTCATCCGGTGGCACGCCTAGACGGAGGAGGCATTTGACGACCCTTCGGTACTTGTGTGCTGCCGCCTGCACGTCGCCGCGAGCCGATCCGAGGGTAGAGGAGATCTCTGTGCGCACCCTCTTGCTCCGTGCATGCTTTTTGCTAAGTTTCACAGAGAACGAGAGGATCAGTGCAGTGCGGACCTCGTCGAGCGCTTCCCGGGCCTCATCTCGTCGAATCTTAATCTCCGCTTCCACAAGAGGCACAGCTGGGGTCTCCTTCAGTACCGCTTCATGGAACGAAGAGGGAAGCGCGATATCGGCATTGTAGACCTCTTTCCACAAAGAGGCCTTGCGCTTGGCGCGTGGGGCCTTCCAGGCAGCTTCAGACAGTCGCGGGAAGTTGGTCTTGGGGGCGTCCTCTTCGGAGATCATCAAGGCTGCATCTTGTAGTGCGGGCTGAATGTGGGCGTCCCAGAGTGGGGACCACTCCGCATATCGCTTGAGAAAGTCGGCTTGCTGATCCACAACACTAGACGGGACCCTGCCCTTGAGCATGAGCGCTTTGAGGAGTTTTTCACTGCACATCGTTTGAGTACATGAAAGCGGAGAGTATATGAGAAACCTACCGTTCTACCTGAAGGCGAGCACCCTCGTCGAGGGCTTGCATAATCTTTTCCTCCCGACGGGTTGTTGACGACGCCTTGCGCGCCTTCTGGCTTTTGGTCGCATCCTTTGCATCCGTCACTGATGGGGTATGCACTCGTTCATACTCATCACTATCACAAGCTTGAAGACGCACGCACCCTGCTCGATATTGATATCGTAAATGTTCTCAAGGCTGTCGTGATTCGCCATGTCCACTACTGCGAGTTTGAACGCAGCCTCTTGCTCCTTGAGCTGTGCAAGCCGTTCGGGACTGAACGTGGCCTCGAGAGCTGTAAGATGGCGCTCGAGGTCTGCAATAAACTCTTCACTGGTGTTGTACCTTGCAGAGAGGTCCCGACCTTCATCGACGGTCAGTGCACAATGACCGAAGAACCTATCAAGACATACTCATTGTGTGCAAATGACGGACGTTCTGGTCGTTCCAGATGTCGTTCAGCGCATCGTGACGAGATCCTGGTCCCATCTCCTGTATTCGTGTGGCTAGCTGGTATATAGCAGCCCACATCCGTTCAGACGCTTCACCATCGGTACGTGCAGCGCCGGGGAGGTAGTTGTAAGAGAACTTGTAGCGACAGCTGGCTTGGTGGGCAGGTAGGTGGAACTTGCCAACGGCGATAAGCATGTAAGGAAGTTTCTCCCACTCGGCGACGCTGGGGAGGCACTCCATGAGCTCCGACCAGGTAGACATGAGCTTGTCCATCCGCGTGTCATAGTTCCGGTGATATTGACAATTGATGTCATAGCCGGAGATGAGCATCGGGAGGGTGAGGTACGGCTTGATCGCACTGGCTTCACTGAGGTCTGCGTACTTGAACCTGTTTCTATTATGAACATTGTGGACCGATCTGCAATCGGATGAGGACTTACGCTTCACCTTTGGTCAGGTCGACAACACTGTTTCTCATCGTCATCATGTGTCGGGAGCATGTCATTGCGAGGAGTCCAGAAACAGTACCAGCATAGCGCTGATATCCCATGGCCCCGAACTTGTTGCATGTGGATTCCTGTAATGCGTGAGCTCATGCGCACAGGCTCTTATAGGACACGTACCTCTGCGGGAGCTTCCGCCTCTGCATCCTTGAGAATGGCCGCCGCCTGTTCCTCGTGGACAAAGAACGCTCCGTTGCGTGTCATAGCCTTGTCGTGTGGATCGACAGCTTTCATTTTTTGAAACTGGGAGAAGGTTGCGTCTTTATTATAGAAGAAGGCGTCGAGGTATCTACAACGGCATCAGTCTGGGGCTCGCAGGCTAAGATGAAGAACTCGCCTCTTATCCTCGCCCTCATCTTGCTTCTTCTCGTTGAGATCGGGCGGCTCCGGGACAGTGTTGTTGATCCCTGGCTGCGGACACGAGGAACACAGGGTGGCGAGGACTCCAGCTTCCATCTCGCCTCCCGGGTCGACTCCATTTCGCTTGGTCAACCTGACGAAGGCGTACTGGCGCATCGAAGCCCGCAGTTGTGCATATCGATTCTATTTGGATATGGACTCATCGTCAGATTATGCACGCGACTAAACATAGGGACCCTCACCTCAATCTCGTGCGTTCGAATATTGTCCTTGCTTCGTGCGAGGTAGTTCCAGATGTCGAGAACGGATATTTGCGACTGCAGGGATAGGAGATGAAAGTCACGAAGGGCGGAGATGGTGAAAGCGGTACGTGGCGTGTCCCATGTCGCGGGCCACAGCCCGGCTTGGATGAGCTGCATTGACTCGTGCATTGGCTCTTGCTCGAAGGAGGCATGCGTGCAGAAGGTGACCTCAAACGTCTGCGGACCGTGCGAGTCGACGATGGTCATAGCCCTTTTTTGCTGTGAGGCGAGCGAAACTGGACAGGGAAGGCCACCGTGACCGAGGTGAAGGACGAGGTTGTGTGGGGAGGGCAGTTCCCCAAGGCCCACGCGGTCCCAAAATCCAATGGCTGGGTCCCACTGCTCCACACGGTGATAGGGGAGCCTGCAGTGTTGGGCGACGATACATGTAATGCATAGGGGCAACGGGTACATGCAGTCAAAACATCGGTATACGTGTGTCGCCGCCCTGCGCGCGTGCCAATCTGGAAAGCGCAAGATGAGCACGGCAGGGCGGCGGGTCCAGCCTCTTGTTCTAACAACGCGTCTTGAACGCGGGAGGCCCACTCGTTCTGGAAATTTGCCATGTGTTCCGCGGCCGTCTGTGACACGGTCACTATATGTTTGTACATACGGGCAGCTGGACGTACCGTCTGTTTCTTTCTCTTCTTGGCCTCTGACGACTGGTTCACCGTGACGTCTGAGTTTGAAGGCGGCCCATCGTATACGCCGCCGTCGTCATCGCCGTCTTCGTCGTCATCGCCATCATCGTCGTCTTCGCCGTCATCGCCGTCTTCTTCGTCACCATCGGTGTCGTCAGTGTCCTCGATCCCAGCCAGGTCGACCGGGTTGTTTGGATGATCGCTGTCAAGTCCAGCCCATGCTCTGCTGGGACCGGCGACGGCCGTGGGGGGAGGTGGGCGGGGACCATCAGGGATCTCCCCAGAGAATGCCTGCGTGCGCGTCCGCTTGAGAGTGTTTAAGAATGCGAGGCCTCGGCGTGACTTCATCGGAGCTCTGGGGATTGAATTTGGCACATGCGAGTTATGCCGAAACATGTAGAACTCACGTGGTTACAAAAAAAGGAAGGCTGGTGTAATGGGAGTTGAGCAGCCGAGAGTCTCAAGGCCAGGACACGCTGTTGCCAAGGGTTAGCAGTGGGGTGTGGTGGTTGAGCCGTGTTACGCACAGTAAGTAAGCCTCTACCGCGGCGAGTGTTGAAGCCGAGGTGGATGTTGAAGACGGAGAATCTGCAGGAACGACGCGCAGAACCAGGTTCTACGACAAAGTGACTCGCCACAAGCACACGATCGTATGACCGGTACGAAGGCGAAGACGGAAAATGCGTTGTAGAACCAGGTTCTACGGTGCAGTAACTCCCGGACGCACACGATCGTATGACCGGTACAGAGCGCGAGAGGGAAAGGAGATATTGGAATGACGAAAGGGAGCAGGGTTAGAGTGGGCAAGAAGAGGAGGACGGGGAGTATGCACGAAGAAGACAGGTGTGAGTAGGAGGACGACGACGACGACAGAGGGGAGAACGGAGGAGCGTGGGACTTGACAACAGGCGGTGATACGATCACCTGACTGGACGCGCTCGCGGTCGGGTTTGTTGATTGTGTTCTTGTTCCCACGCCACGGGGCAGGGAGTCAGAGGCGCCTTCGTCTTCTCGCTCTCTTCTCACCTCCACCACCCCACGGTCCACGTCGCTGCATCCACCACCATTTCAGCCCTCTCCGTCCCCTTCCATCCCACCGTCGAAGCAGACAATAGCGGCTACATAGTCGACTGTTGTCTGTAGACGTCGGCGCCCCAGGGGCACCGATCTCTGCTTTCCCCCCACAGGTCCCCAGGGTATCTCCAGGTCTCCACCCCCAGCTGGCCAGCGGATGTGTGTAGCGCTCTGACGTTGCACGCCCGTGCTCTTTGCTAACACCGTAATGACGCAGCCATCCACAAGACTGCGATCAACATCGCGACATCAAGTCCCCCAAAGCTTCGCCTGAAGCTCGTCAACGTGAGTCGAGCAGGACGTTTGCTGGTGGCGATATGCGCTGATTACGTGGCATTCAGGCCGGGTCCAAGGTTACAAGAAAATCAATTTCCTCGAACGAGTGGTGTGTTTTCTGGGTAAGTCCGTGGGCATGTTTATGTTTCCCCGCTGTTTTCTTATCGCGCGACGTTTCAGCTCCCCTTTTCCGATCCGCCCTGTCAAGTTTGCATCCCTTCCACCCTTTCTCGTCCTCGGATAATCTTCTGGTATGTATGTCAACTCGCTGTTGTACGGGATATTGCTAACACATGTCAAAGATTCTGGTTTGCCGCCCTGTGCTGAATCGTGGACGACGTCTAGTTATCGCCTGCCCCCGGTAAGTTGTTGGTTGGGATGTTTGGTCGCATTTATTGAAGTTTACATCCGCAATGTAGGTTTTACCATCTATGACTCCCAACACTTTCGACGCTCGTGGGGACATGGGCCATTGGTCCCTTACGTTTCGCGCGTCCAGCCCAATCGAGACATCAAGGGTAAGTGTTCTTTGTTATTCACTCGATCCGTAATCTAATACGAATTTCATAGATCGCCCTCCGTTGGGAGAGTGCGGTCCGTTCGATGGATACGTCGCTTCCGACGGGTTCAGCAGCGGTACCATGTTCACGACGCCGAATCAAACTTTTGTACCGCAATTCGGCTTGGCATTTCAGGAGATTAAAACATTCGATGACGGTCTTTGGGGTGCACACGAGTTATCCAGGTGGCCACAGCAATACCATCCGTCCCATATCCACATTGCATGCATCCCGCGGGAAACAAGTGTGTACGCCCCCAAGCACGACATTCTCTGGGTGGGCTGGCTTCCATCCTACTGGACCCGCACGGAGTCCGACTTCGGCCACGTCGGGGTGATGGACAAGTATGTCATCAAGCAACTCGTTGACGCCGCCGATGACGTCCTCCAGTCGTGCGAGGAGTGTGCGAGGGGCCCCGCCGACATCAGGGATAGGTTCAACGCTGTACGCCTGTGCCTGCGAATCACCCTGGACCGCTTACGACTTCTACCTGCCGTCCGCGACGTCGTCTTCTCTCTCGCCGCCCACGTCCAGCGCCTTATCCTATTCCTTGCTGGGATCCATGTCTACATGCAGGTAGTGCTGCCAAGATTAAACACGGGGCAAGACCACCGACTCGACATCCTTGACGTCCTTGGCGCCTACACGAACAACCCAGGCGTGGCACAGCGCTTGCATCTCGCCGGTGTGCCGGTATGGCTACAGCAGGAACGTAGCGCCCCCGTTGCGGTGTACGAGTCCGTGTCCCTCAAGCGCCTTCCGTTTTGGTTCTCCTCCACCCCATCCTTTCCCCGACTTGTTCTGGCCCGCCGTGACTTCGAGGGAACGTTGAACGCCCCAGGAGAGTGGATCGAAATGATGCTGAACACAACACATCGGCAATTGCTCAACGGCTCTCGCCTTGATGCGATGCCCTCAGGAGATGAAGACGGGTGCGCGGCGAAACGGTGGAGGGGCTCCGAGACTTCCACCCCTGGCGTGCGCGATCCGCACGATGCGCAAGCACTCGCACACCCCTTGGTGCCGTCGGCCCCACGTAAGGTCGCGAAGAACCCCGCGGCTCGTGCTCTAGCAGGCGCCAAAAAAGCCGCGGCCCACGCTCTCTCCGGCGCTAGGCCCGTGGAGAAGATCCAGCCCGTCCGCTGCTTCTACGTATCGCTGTCGGTTGCATACGGCACGTGCTGGTTGGAAGCGCTCCGCTCGGTTGGCACGCTGTCGCATCCACCCACGTCTCCCAAGTACTACTGGCCGCCGCCGTGGATATTTGACCGACTGGACAACTTCTCACCCAACGACCCCAAGAGGAGCAGGTACCTCATCCAGTTGATACGTGTCCGCGAGTTCTGCCAGCGCCGATTGTTCGACAGGACGCTCAACGGCGCCCCTTTGGGCATTCAAGCCTGGAGGGATCTCTTGTGGGGCGAGTATGGCGAGCGTGGTTCCGTCAACCCGGCCGTCACGGCGATCGCGGGCTCGTCGTCTGGGTCCTCCTCGTCCCTCCCTACCGGCCGCTCTTCGGGATCGTCTTCGACGTCGGCAAAGCACAAGCAGCCCGCCGACACAAAGCACAAGGCCAAGCGGGCGAAGGAACGAATGAACGTCGCATCTATCTTCGCCGGTGCTTCGCTAGTGCGTTTCGAAAAGGGCGTCGCCGTCAAGTTCGGTGATAGGGAGGTCAAGGAGACGGATATCCTGCAGGACGACGAACTGCTGAGGACACTAGTCTGGGAGACCCACGAGGTCAACTGGCGGTGCGAGCTCCTCGCCCTAGACTCCGTCGTCGTCGGGTCCCGGAACTGGCCTGAAGTGGAACAATGGTGTCGGGAGAGCCTCATCTCCGAGGTCTGGGGTCCCCCTAGTTCGGCGCTTGACATCTTCCCCTCCAACAAGGCGGACAGGACGGCGCTCACAGCCTTCTTGTGGCTTTCGCCAGCCGACCCTGGATGGGAGGTCGGGCGCCCACATCTCCGAGCCCTGCTCGATGTCCAGCAGACTTGGCCGAGGCAGCCGGTGGAACTCGCCGGCGCATTGAAGCGCCTGGAAGATTGTGATCCGTTTGAGTATAGTCGCATCCAGGCTGCAGCGGCGCAGTTCTACGTTGATACATTCATCCGTACGTTCCAACGTCTCCCTGTCCCGCCCGTGCGCCATGCTGCTCCCTTGGCGACGCTTAGCTCGGACATATTTTGATATATACGTTTGCGTAATTTGCTGAAGTGGTAGTTTGATTTGCTTTGTTAGTACAGCCCCGTCTCCGGCGAGCCCGGACTTTGTATGCCCATGTCGTCGCTCTTCGTTAACTCATCTGCTCTTCGCGTTGGTTGTATCTGATCCCGACTGCCTGCTTTCCAATCCGTCCACACCCCACCCGCCGTGTTCGAACCTCCAAAATCGCCTACCCCTCTGGTCATCACGTGAGTATCCATTTACGAGTCGAGAGCAGCTCGACTAACTAGCACGACAAGCGAGCCCAGCATGCCTGAGGTGAAGATACGTCTCGAAGAGCAAGAGTTCATTGCGCAGCAGCTTGCTGATCCCGAAGTGCAAGCGACGCTGCAGCAACGTGGGACATACGGGGTGCAAACGACCGTCCGTGACATTCTACTAACACGTTACATGACACGGTTCAACCACCTGCTCCCTGGCGAGCCTGAACAGGTGTACTTGGAACGTCAGAAGCGTCAGAGGGGTCGCGGAAAACCGCGTCGGCAGGCAGAAACCGAAGCGGAGATGAAGGATCGCATGACAATGGCAGGCTCGGTGAGTGTTTAAACTAGTCTATCTGTGCTCTATTGTGATGTTCGATCTTTGTAGCGTATATTGAACCACATCAAGGCCTGGGTGAGGAAGAATGTCCCGGTCGGTGATGCGTCCACGGCGTCTGCTGAATCGGCGACCGCACCAGTGGGTGACCTCAAGCGGGAGGCCGCCCCGCGACTCGGCGCATACAGGGAGTTCCTTAACAGCGATCACCCGGACGTGCCCCAGATGGACGTCACCCTGTCGCGTCCGGAGCGTATGGCTAAATTCAACCGGGAGGGACGTCGGGCGTTCAAAAACCTCGGTGAGGAAGATCGGGCGTTCCTCGAGCGGCAGGTGGAGAAGAAACGCCAGGCGGTTGCGTCCAATGACCGTCTTGACGAACTCCGCCGGCAGTTGTGAGTCCAATTCCCCTACTACGTGTTTTCCAGTTAAATTTTGGTCCAGGTACGTCGTGCAGCTGCGCTCAACCCACCAAGCCAAAATGAAGGGATGGCAGAGAATGACGGGCTGTGTCGGCCTGTCCATGATAGGAGGTCTTGATGAGACGGGCCAGCTATTCATCTCGGTGTGAGTTTGTTGGGTTCGACCTTGGGAATCTTGAAACTAAGCCCTTCACCCAGCGCCACTACTGGGAAGGATCCGACGGGCCGCTCGTTTCCTGCGGCCCTGCAAGACAGTCTCGATGTGCAGCCCACCCGGCTGGAGTCGGAGTTCGCTCACTGGGTGCACAGGATCTTCGACCGTGAGCTGCCTGCGTTCGCATCAGGTGGACGCTGGCCTAAACGTTTTTTAGCCCCCGCGCGCGCAGTGCTTGCAACCTCCCAACTTGGGGCACCCGCCTTGCCAAAGGCTAGCGGGTCGGGGCTGGCTACCGCCGCCATCGCGGCGTCTAGGGCCGCTATCGCGCCTTCGCACTCCTCTCCCGCTAGGATGCAATCCCCTCTGCCAGCCCAGGTGATCTCTCTGCCAGTTGCTTCTACCTCACCACGCGCTACCGGGTTGGTAGAACCGGCCACCTCTTTCCACTCAGTCAGCGCCGTTGCGCCTGCCTCACAACACACGACCTCAGGGGGCGGCACGTCTACGCCCGCGCATTCATCTGACAGCGACCATGTGGCCTCGAACAGTCCTACACTCCCAGGCCCTCCTCGTACCAGTGCTGGGTCGGTGATGTCCGCCGAGCCTACCAACAGCAGTGGACTGGCGCATGGGCTCGATGCCTCCAGCCTCTCCATACCTGTTGCCGCGCTGTCGGAGTTGGCCCCATCGGTGGGCAGGAAAGGGCCCGTGCCACCCCGGTCTCGCCGTCCGCCGGTGACAGCGGCATCCGTGGAGAACGGCACATCCTCTTCCGCGAAGCCCAATACGCGCGCTATCATCCCCAAACTCAATATGTTAGTCCTCTTGCCCATAGCCGGTGATGCTACGATTCTCATGTCACTGCAGGGTTATACCGGCCGGCAGCAAAACCTCGACGAATACCCAGAAGGCTCGCGCCCAGGCGAAGGCGTTCACATCAAAGCCCAGCGCACGGGCCAAACGCCAGGCCAAGATGTGAGTTGTCTTCCGCATTCCGTTTTACTGTTATTGATTTCAAGATACAGGCCAGTCGCCGCTTGTGATCCTAAGGAGCGGCATGCGAGGACGCTGCAGGGAGCAGGTGGGTTCTGCGTCTGTCCTTATGAACGCGTCAAACTTACATCGCAGCAGCGCTGCGCCGGATGACGGAGATCGAAACACCGCACAGGACGCCGCTGTTACTGCTGACGGGTAGGTAACTGCTTCCGTCGGCAGGAGTAATTCCTAACGCGTTGTAGTGCGGAGCCAGGGAAGCGTAAGCGCAAACGTACGGCGAGGGCGGATGGCAAAAGCCCGTGAGTCGCACGTTTTTATTGGCCGCAATGTATCTGACGTTCATGCAGGGATATGTCCGCTGCCAAGCGGGCTCGGAAATAGTGGTATTCACAGTGCACCGGGTGGGGGCGGTTGGAATATAGACGGAGGGCGGGAGTGGGCAATTATTCTAGCCAATGCTGGTCCTTAGTAATTTTCTTTGGCCCTTGCGACAGGACGACGGGGGTGAGATGAAACCGCAGACATTGTTTGACGCCGGAGTTGAAATAAGCCTTTCCGGGCTACAGGCCGATCCTGCGGTTCAAGTTTCTCGCATATTCTGAGGTCTAGGGCTGTACTAAATCGCTGCCCAACCAGGCGTATGGGTCTGAGTCGTGCGCCCTAGATCTGTGGCTCGATTTATGGTGATGTCGCTGACGGTCTCTGCTCCGCGGCGTGTATTATCAAATCGCCCACATGCCGCCCGTAAGTCAAACTGGCAGCCTTGTACTGATCCAGGACACCAAGACAACACACAGGGGCAGACCAAAAGGTCTGCGAGCATGCGCTCATCTGGGTTCCCGGTGAAGGCTCCTGGGGGGAGCGCGGACCCCAGACGCAGATAGGACAACCCCGTTTAGAGACCGAGGTGAGCACGCTCTTTGAGGAGTATTTAAACCCTCCCCCCTCGTTCATGTCTTCACAGAACCACATCATCTGCCCTACTCGCCCTTCAACAGCCTTTTTCTTCCTGGTACGCCTTCCCCAGAACCACCCCAGCTTTGCGCTGATGTATGCCCCACAGCTCGACCATGACCGACTTCCAGGCCCGTGTCGCTGCGGTCAACCGATTCCGCACCTTGCTGCTTCCCGCTCAAGGCTCCCCCTCCTCTCAGTACAGTCAAGCGCTCAAAGAACTCTGCTGGCTCGGGCTCGAGCACCGACTCCCTCCTGAACTCGTCAACTATTCTGAAGTGAGACCCCTGTGCCCGAAATGCGGGCGTATCGATTCCCTACGCCCTTTCATGCACTATAAGCCCGACACAGCCGGACAAATGGGTATTTCCGTAAGTTCTGAGCTCTTTGATGCCCACCAGCCTGACCGTCTTGCAGTGCGATGCTCGGACCGGGCAGGGTGACGAGACTTGCGGCCCTCGCCGCATTGCTCCGCGCAACCCTGTTACGGTCGCGGAGCGCGGGAGCGCGGAGGTCGGGCGAGTCGGAGACGAGCGGAAAGGCGGGATGGATTAGAGGACGCGCTTGACCTCGGAGAGGCTCGCGGTAGCGGGGAGACGGGAAGGAGAGGCGACGGGGAGGAGCCAGGAGGCAATCGCGTAGCGATACAGTGAAGCGGGCGCGAGAATATAAGTGATGCAAGGTAACCAGTGGCGGACGATCGTATGCTGGGCGTCCGTAGCGGGTGCGCGCCGAAGCTCGTAACCAGACAGGCGGAGCAGGCCATAACACACCCCACGAGCGAGGCGGGTACACGAAGGCGGAGAAGGTGCGGTAAGGTACGGTAACAAACGTACGGTCGGTCAGAATATCGAAGAGCGCGCAGGATAGAGAGAATACAAAAACATCGGGGCGCACGAGGGTTCGGAGCAGGCAACGGGTCGAGAGCGGCAGGCGTACACTGCGCGAGACACCCCCATACTAAGGGCGACGCGGGGACAAGTGCAGCAGCGCGCGCGTCATCGACGACGGCGTCGGGTTCAGCGGAGGAGGCGGGCGCGCGGCGACGAGCGCGAGCGATCATGCAGCGTCGCGCGAGCGGTGGGCGGCATGGGTCGTCATCGTCCTCGGATCGCGGGCTTCTGCAACAGCAGTCCGGCGGGCTCGGGTTCGGTCGGTTCGGTTCGGTCGGTCGGTCGGTCGGTCGTCGGTCGGGTGCGGGATCGCGCGAGCAGCCTCACGGGGAGGGTCACGGGGAGTGGGGACGAGGCAGCGGGATCCGAAGCGCGCAGGTCGGAACGCGGATCGGGAGTGGAGTCGGGGCGGATCGAGGGAGTTCGGGTTCAGGCTCGGGGCGCGGTCGAATGCGGGCGGGTCCGCACAGGCTGGTCTTCGGCACTCGGGGCAGAGCAACGGCTCGCGGCGAGGCTTCGAGGTCGTGGGTCGTGGGTCGCGGGGCGTTTTCGCTCTTGATGCTCAGGCGCCGGAGCAGAGCGCGAAATGCGGGAGAGGGTTCGGGATGGTCGGCTCACCAGCGCGAGGGACAGCGCGGTGCAGGGTGCTCGGATTGCCCTCCGAGTAGGGACACGCGATTGTGTTACGGTCGCGGAGCGCGGGAGCGCGGAGGTCGGGCGAGTCGGAGACGAGCGGAAAGGCGGGATGGATTAGAGGACGCGCTTGACCTCGGAGAGGCTCGCGGTAGCGGGGAGACGGGAAGGAGAGGCGACGGGGAGGAGCCAGGAGGCAATCGCGTAGCGATACAGTGAAGCGGGCGCGAGAATATAAGTGATGCAAGGTAACCAGTGGCGGACGATCGTATGCTGGGCGTCCGTAGCGGGTGCGCGCCGAAGCTCGTAACCAGACAGGCGGAGCAGGCCATAACAAACCCGGTCCCCGAAGACCAGCTTGCTGCTATCGAAGCGCAGCGTGAAGCCGACCGTGTGCGTTTCCCTGTCCCTAGCGTGTCGCTCTTGACTAACATGCCATAGCTCACCAAGGTGTCCAAGGCCGCTGTTCAAAATCTGGCCAATACGCCGGTCAAGAGCAAGGGCAAGGGCAAGGGTATCGCCCTTGTCAACTCCAGCGATGTGGGTGTCTTTCGCTGTCGCGGCTCCCCTGTTCTGACCTCCGTTAAGGATTCTCCCCTCATTGACTTCCCTTCAAGCGCCAGCCTTAGCCCGGTGCTAACTCAGAAGTATACGAAACCGGCAATCGACAAGGGTAAGGCGAAGGCCAACATGAAATCACGCGCGGTATGCAGCATACTATATTCCAGGTTCTGATTTCTGACTTTTCGTTAGCCCTCCCCAGTTGTGTGGGTGCCTTCGAGCACCAGCACCACGCCGGAGCAGCTTGAAGCTGATGCGCTGCTCGCTCGGTCGCTCAGCCAGGATGAAGTGTTTCCCCCAGACACAACACAGAACGATGCAGCGCTTGCTCGGTCGCTCCAGGATCTCCTGGACAACGGGGGCATAGTCGACGATGACGAAGTCCCTCCTTGGAAGGCCCGACAACGCCCTGGGCGTGCGTCCGCCGCCTGCAGGTCGCCTAGCGTGGACGATTCTCCCAGCGTGCTGGCCGCTGCTCGGCGCAAGCTTACGCAATCTCGGAAGCCGGTCAAGGTGTGTATGTATCCGGTATATGCTCAACAAGAACTGATGGCTGTCCTTGTAGGAGTCGCCCCTAAAGGGTTTACTGAGCATCAGCGACAGCGACAACGGTGATGAGCTCTTTGCTTTCGCTGAGAGCGACGACGACACCCCCAGCGATCTCGCCTCCCAGAACCAGGTACAGCAGGCCCTCCTTCGTTCGTCTCCCTATGCTCATATCTTTGCAGGGCTCAAACAAGGAGAACAGCGGTCCTTACGGCAAGGTGCGCTTTCTTCCCCTCCCCTTCGTGTCTAGTAGTTCATGCTATAGCAGGGCCTCGCTCGCGACGGCGACATGGTTACTACAACCTCTGGCAAGCGCCGTTATTCCGTCATCTCCCTCTCTTCGGACGACGAGAACGATGGCCCGCCCCCGCTCAAGACTGTGAAGATCAAGGAGGAACCGACCGAACACGTTCTTCGCGACCTCCTGGAAGTCGCGACCACCCCTTCTACGTCCCACCCGCTTACAGGCCAAGGGCCTGGGGTTACATCCAAGGTCGCTGAGGTGCCCTCGCCCAAGCGACCCTCTGCCGACACGAACACCCTTCTGCCAGCCATTGAGGGCGTCCGGGACCTCCGGCCCTGGCTCGTCGGATCCGAGGTCGTCAACTCGTGGGTCCTTAAGCCCCCGGGCCGTGGAGCTGTCGCGGGGCCGTCGCGCGGGCCTCGGACGCTTTTCCTCCGTGACGACTACACCGGTGCCAGCGCCAACGCTGCAGAGGTCCAAGCTGCCGTGAAGGGCATCTGTAAGTTGCGCCATTTGTGTTCAGTCGTCCCACTCACCGACATCCTGCCTGGTCATCAGCACCTACTCTCCTTGCGGCCTTCGTCGGCCGCTGCCTGCCCCAGGCGGCGCACGCTCTGCGGCCTTTCGACATGAAACTCGACAAGGCCAACGAGGACATCCCCTGGGGTGACAAGCCGTGGGTTCTGACGACCAAAATATACGTAGAGGTGCGCCGACGCCCTGATGTGCGATGCTACATGCTAACGCAGTCTCTCAGGACGATGAAGGTCCGCTCCATCGGATGCAAGGCGTGGCGTCTAAGGTCACAGACATCATCGCGATGGACATCTTCTCGCTCTCCGACATCATGGGGGCCTACGGCTGTGCAAAATTTCAGCTTGGGCACAAGCAGTGCTCTGGGGAAACCACCTGGGAGCCCCGTGACCTTTTCGACACCATCAACATCGGCTGGCCAAAGGTGACCACCATTGTACTCGCTCTCCCCCACGTAACGCTTGAGTAGGTCCCTCCCCTGCCCACAGATGCAGTTGCTCACGCAGGACACAGGAACATAATCATCTAATCGTGTTGTATGTGCTCCGTCGCCGTGGTGTTGAAAGCCTGTAGCTAGAAGGCGGAACGACCCTGCTGAATGAATACGTATTTGCGTCCTTCGGCCCTGCGCTGCGCTCCGGCACGATATTCCAGCGCCCTCGGCACACAATATCCAGTATCATTATCATCCAGTCCACCTTCGACCTCGCCCAGCTCTCTTCTGAATCATATCAATCTGGTAATAGTCCCTCGCCACCACTCTGTTCCGCAAGATCCCAGTCTCCGCACACTTATCGACAATGAATATCCATGCAATCACCCACTCGCTGCCCCACCGCGGCCCTCGCGCGACCTCGCGCGCTAAGGCCCGTTGGCAGCCCTATGCTTCCAACATTTTGCATGCCACACACTCGCATCCCACACTTCCAAGTCACCTGTCCCGGCTCCTGTTTACTTGCACACCCCCGCTTCTTCATCTGCCACCTCTTCTTCATCCACCGCCCCCTCCACCCAATCTGCGACATCAAGACATCACTGCCATCGCCCGACTCAATCCGGGATGTTCAAAAGTCAAAATATGCCGCAAAACTCGTTGGTGAGTACTTTTTTGATTTAATGTTTATGGAGCGGGCCAGTCCACGAGCAACACTGTGTCATTCCCTGACGCGCTATGTCGTCCTGGCGCACGCGCGAGTGCATCGGCGCGTCGGTCACCCTCGGGTGTCACGCATACCTACTTCTGTCGCGGGCGATAGAACAGATATTCATGGCAACCGTCTTTCCAGATCAAGCCGTGAAAACACCTTCAGACGTTCGGCAAACCGATGACATTCCGGCCGTGTACCTTGTTGGTAACAGTGACGGGCTCTGTGCACAGCCCGACCTCAAGGCCACGTCTTCGTCCGCCGCAATCGCCTCGCAGTCTCGCGCCAATCTTCTCGTCGCGGAACACACAGCTTCTCTCCCCGATATCGTCGTCGACGCACCGCATGTCCTCTCCAATCGCGAGCGGGTGCGAGCCACACTCACAGTCGCCCAAAGGTTCCGTCAGCGGAATCTGCTTCCGATCAAGGGCTTTGTGCAGAGGTCCTCTGTCGTTCCCGAACGTCCACCGATGTCCTCCAAACCGCGCTTTGCTATCTGGAGGCCGTTCGCGCCAAGATCCCCGACATCCTCCGCACCAAGAAGACTGGATCATCTGTCCTCCGTCGAGCCCAGGATTGTGCAAGGTGTCGTCGGTGAGCCTCGCATTGTCAGCTCTATCTCCCACGATCTCAGCAACACCATTCTAACCGTTTGCGACGGTGACAGGCGACAGAGACATCGACGCCCGCGCATCATGTCGGCCCTCCCTCTGCAGCACTTCTCTGCCCCCGCTTCCCCGCTTCCCCTCCCCCTTGTGTTGTCCCCGCTGCACCTTCCTGGCTTGCCTCATACTCGCCTCCAAGTTTATGCAAGATCGTTCGCAGTCCAATCGTGCGTGGGTGAAGCTTGCACGTCTTCCTCCACGGGAAATCGGGCGCTGCGAATGCGCGCTCGGGGAAGCTCTCGAGTGGCGCCTCTGGGCCGGCCAGATCACTGCCTCATCTTCAACTGTCCACCCTCACCTCGTCGCTTTCTTGCATCCCGGAACCGGCAGCGCCCTCCCTTCCTCCCCAGCACCTTCACACGTG